GAGAGTCATTTTCTGTCTCTTTTTGGTCTGTGATGAGCAGACTCATCGCACTCAGTAGGAACATAAAACCAGAAAGTGAGTCGAAAGCCTCTAGTCCAGGAGTGATTGAGAATTCAGCTAATGAGAACAAGTTTTAACCTTATGACTTAGGTTGGAACCTCCTCTCATAACAAAGTAATCTAGAACAGGGGTTCCCAACTACCCGACCACAGACCAGTAGCGGGCCATGACCTGTTTAGGAATCAGGCTACATAGCAGGAGGTGAGTGGCAGGCCAGGAAATGAAGCTTCATCTGTATTTGCAGTCCCTCCCCAGCGCTAGCATCACCGCCTCAGCTCCACCTCAGATCATCAGGCATTAGATTCTCATTAGATCCTAGGTGACAGAAAGGTTGGGGACTGCTGCTCTAGAGATCTGACCATCATCCTTACAGTATCTGTCCTGTCCATTCTCCATCTGATGGGTTTGGCTCATTGTGTCACCTGTTGTTCTCAGTATATCAGTGGAAGAGCTTTCTTACCCCATTACTCTAACACACTGAGCCTTGTGAATGGCATTTTCAGCTCTGAGGAGAGTGTGAAAAGGGTCAATTGGCAAGGTTTTGCCTGATTTGAACTTTTAATGCTTTCTGTATGAAACCAAATCCTTACAGGTGACTGTATTTTGGGATACTGAGAGACAACTTAGGAAGTGACTGCAAGCTTACAGGACAGGTGAGTCTAGCAAGCTCTGATGAAACTTTTAGAATAGACCTTTTGAAGATGAAACAGTTTTCAGAATGGAAAGTAAGACCGTTTATTCCCCTAATTCCCCCAAAGAGATAAACACCATCCCTAACCTCTAAGAGCTTTCCCAATTCTGGGGACAGAATCTGACATTTAGTAGGTGCTTATTAAAAGTTTTTGAGTAAAAGAATTTATGGGCTCTCAAATTTCAGGAGGGTCACACATACGGATTTTCCCACTCTTTGTTGTTATTCACTAACAAGAACTACAAAGCACCCACTTCCTGCATTTCTCTTTTTTGTTCTTTAGTTCTTGGGTGTTTTGATGTCATTCCTAGAATTAAAAAAAAAAAAACAAAAAAAACAAAAAAAACTATTTAATGCTTCTGATTTAGTATAATTTTTTCTAATTTATAATTCTAGTGGCAATATCTGAGCTTTCTCTAGAGGTCTTCTTGACTTCTCTGACATATGTCAATAAGATGACCTGGTGTTTTTATGTATCAAGTAATTTAATCACTAAGCCAATCACATGTATCTACTGAGCATTTACCACATGACAGACACAATTCCAAAGACTGAATACATAAAGGCAAATAAGAGAGACTTTAAGAAGTTTACCTCACAAGAGACAAGTAATAAACATGGAAATGAATAAATTCTCTAAACAACACATTGGAAGATGGGTAATACTCACATTTTACAGATGAGAAAACTGAAGTTTAGCAAGGCTGCATCCTACCCAAGGGCACAGAAATCATAAACATGGGATTCAGGCCACATTTCCTGGACCTTGAAGGCCATGCTTATTCCACTGTTAGCAACTGTCTCTAGAGAAGGTGACATGTCTGCTTTCCCTTAGTCACTTTGAACATATCTATGCAGCAACTCATGAAAGGCTCTGAGAAAGGAAGATACAGGATTGTCAAAGAAGTACTTGAATGTCTTTCTTCTTGGGGCAAGGCCTGACCTACGCTGTCCTGGAATGCTGAACTGCAAGCCCTTTCATTTCTACCTTCCCATGATGGCCAGGAGGTAAATTTATCCA